AGAGACCTCTCATTATGCTCATTTTGCAAAACCATTGTCTATTTTACAACCATTATGCTCATTTTGTTGGGCTTAATCCGCGTGAACATAACTTTAAGCTACCAATGTAATAGAACCATGGATCGAATGGGACAGGACAACCAGGGACAAAAGCCCTTTGGGTTCTCGGTGATAAAAAAGAAAAGATTATTATTTAGAAATATCCCTTTTCACTTGATGCCAATCCTTAACAAAGGGAAATTGGTACCATGAAGGTAGCATAAAGTTAGCATCTTTATTGCAGTCAAACAGGAATCAGCTGACTTCAAGATCTAATTTTGTAGACAAGAATCAGATGGCAGCAAGTTATTGTAAAAGTTAAATGAATTGTACCTCACATGCTTGCCCACCGGAATTATGGAAATTATATTTTCATTATTCACGGATCAAGAAAAGAAATGCTAAAACTTCACTTAATTTTACTCAGAAAAGGTTCTTTTGTATCTTTAAAATTCAAGGACTACATACCCTCACTATGTTAAAGACACTGGAACTGGAATATACAAAAGATCAATTCTCCAGTAAGTCTCAAGTTTCATGCCACCAAAGACAGCCTTAGTTTTTCTAATAAATCATCATCAAGGCTTTTGTTGTTTCGTCTACCAATAAGGCTACCTAACACATACAATAAACCAAACTACAGCGTGCAGCATTCAATCTCAACTAAAATATAACATTTTCTGAGTTATCATTTATAAACACAAGTTTTTCAAGCAATCCGTATCACTTTGTTTTCACAACACTGTGATCAAGTAAAAGAAGATATAGAAAATAGAGACTGATCAACCCCAAAAACAGAGTTTCTCCATACCAAACAGCCTCGATGTTGACCAATTGCCTATCAAGAAAATTTGTAACTTTACAGTCTTTGATCAGATGCATATGAGCATATCCATGTTCGGATGAGCTTAAAGATAGGTAAAAATAACATTTTCTGTTCCTAATATTTTTAGATAAGTTACTCTTTTTTTCTTAAATTTCACTAAAACTAACTTATTCCAATTTGGATCAATAAAAAAAAAATATATCTCTACTATATTAAAAGAGTGAATCCGCCGAGTACTGTTCATTTTGAAGCATTTTCGTTAGCTCAAATTGCCCCATATCCATCCTCTACTATTTACACCAACTACCCCTATCTGTCTCCCACTATTCACACGTGGGTTAAGGGTAATTTGGAAAGATCATTTTTTAATCAATTGATATGCCTACAATTGTTGCCTTTGAATGTCAGGAAAAAAACTTTGTTTGAGATGATGGTGTTGTTATAATG